CAGCGCTCCCGACTGGGCGTCGAAGGCCCGGGCGCAGGCGTCGGCGCTGCCCGTGAACACTGCGGACAACAGCGGCACGCTGTGCCCTCCCGCCGCCACCCACCCTCTCGGGGCGCAGGGACAGCACGGAGGGCCCAGCCCAGTTTCCTCATCTGCCCTCCACACGATGCCTGGCCTAAGGTTCCACCGGGAAATACACGGAAGCCTCTCCCCCCTCAAAGGCACCAGGTCACCTCCGTCACCTCACTGCGGCCCGTGTGACCAGGGGAGAGGCCTACACTGGCCCGCAGACGCCGCAGGCCCGCATCCCCATGCCTTCCTTGGGCTTCAGGTCAGCCCCGCTGCCATCCAGGGCTCCTGGCCCTCCCCGGAGCCTCCGAGGTCCAGGCGCCCACCCTGGGGTCCTGCTTGGGAGGCCTGTGTTGAGGGTGGCTTCTCGGCTGCTGGAGGGTGGGACTGGGGTGGGTGTAATCCCGAGTCCTGGAAGCTCTTCCTCCTCCTCCCTTCCTACAGGGACCAACGGGAGCTCAGCCTCCCGGGCTCTGAAACTCGGGTCCCACCCTCCAGGGCGCACTAGCAGCTCGGGCCAGACTCTGCCCTCCAGGCTCCTGACCCTGTTCTGTCCCCACCATGTAACTGAGTCTAACAGCTTTCCAACTGGAAGTGCACCCGAGTCCCCGCCCCACTGTCCACTACCCCGGGTCTGACAGCCAGAGGGGCGGAGAAGCTGCATTCCTAACCAGTTCCCACTCATGCTGCAGGCCATGGTGGGGGTGCAGCGGGGACAGTGAGGGAGGAGCTCGCTCATCCACCCTGTCTTAGGGTGGGCTCTCAGAGGGCAGCCCTGATGCACACGGTGTGCTTGTATGAGCACTGCAGGGGACAGGAAGGGGAGCCAGGCAGCACAGTGAGGTATGCTAACTGGGTGACTGAGGTATGCTAACTGGGTGACTGGGGCAGCTGGGGCCGGTGAGCACAGGGACAGCACAGGGACGCTGAGCTCCTCAGTGGCTGAGGGAGCGCTGTGGGCCCCCTGACCCTACTTCCTCCCTCATCTGCCCACCCACAGCTCCTTGTGGCCCTGGAGGGAATCCCACCCATTTCTGGGCTCTTCAGCTGTGTTCCTGTCTTGCCCCCCACGAATTCAGGGAGGAGCACGACCCCAGGAAACCCAGCATGGCTGCTGGTAGCCCAGGGCTGAGGAGGGCCAGGAGAATCCTCTGATGTTCCACAGCCTCCTGGCAAAGGCCAGGCCCAGTTGTGAGACAAGGCGCAGCTGGGCTCCCCCTGCGGGTCAGACAAGGTGCCGTGCCAGCTGCCGCCAGGGGAGGCGCTCTAGCGGCCTCTGAGAGCCAGTTAGACGCACTGACTCAGGAGCTGGACGCTGGGCGAAGGAGAAAGGACGTCCCGAGGGCACGCCAGGCCCTGTGTTCGGGGACCCAGTTCTGTCTTCACCTGACGCCTCTGCTCTGAGATCCACATGTACCGGGCCAGTTGGCCAGAGCCAGCAAAGCCCAGGCGTGTTACCTGAGGGACAGGCAGCTCACTCCCACCCACCAAGCCACTGTGCCCTTTACTGTCAAAATAATTCTGATTCATCTTGGCAGCAATGCCCTCGGGTAAGACTTCAGACTTGGTCTCTCCTGCTGGCTGAGATGTCAACCTGAGACATGCAATCGGGCAGGGCTCCCAAGAAAGACCTTACGGGGGCCCACTCAGGTAGAAGATGCATCCTTTGCCCTTTCCTCCTCTTCTGCCTAGAGCTTGGCATGATGGTTGGTGCTCTTGCAGCTATGAGGAACCATGAGGCTCTCCTAAAGATACAAGGTAAGACCTAAGGGGAAAAGCAACAGATAGACTCCATCTATTCCAGCCTAGATGCCAGCCCCATAAATTATTTTACCTGAGGAAAAATAAACGTCATTTGAAACACTGTTACTGGGCAGCAGGAGGCATGGAGGGTAAGGTGCTGAATCCCACATGGCTGGCTGCGTGGTTTGAAAATCACACCGGGTGCGCGTACATGTATGCCCAAACCCCAAGAGGAGAATGGAGGAGAAGAGGTTGTGGCATGGCCACCGCCACACCGGGGGGTGATTGCTCTCTCTCTGGCAAGCACACACACGCTCTACCAACAACGTAAAATAACAGCAACAATCCACACTGTTACCAGGGTCTTCTACCTGTAGTCACACCTAACCAAGACCAAGTGAGGTCGCCACACGGCCTTCGAGTCTCGCCTACTTAGGTGGGTGTTGCCGCATCGTTTGGACATCACGAGTCCCTGAGATGTGCTTTTGGCCCTGGGACCTCTGAACACTCAGGTTCCCCCCTCCCCCCAGTCTATAGGTAGAGGCGGGGAGGAGCAGTGCAGGGAGAAGGCGCACAGCCGAGGCACGACCGTGGGGAGTCCAAGGAGCAGGGAGGGAAGGACGGGGCGGGGGCCGGGTGACACGGGTCACTTACAGGTGCCCGCGTGGTACTTGAGG